GGTGTGGGGGTGGATGTGGCCGGGGTTGGGTGTGACTGTGGGTGTAGTTGGGGGCACCGCGGGGGTGGGGGCGTCGTGGGGGCGAGCGCCAGCATGCAAACCCGGAAATTGCCGCCGCGACGCGGCTGCCTCCACCTCGCCCATCAATCATCTGTTGGCCGCTCGCGAGCTATGCCACCCTTTCCCACCGGCCCCCTCACACACAATCACACTTGCAGAGACGCATGCACGCACACACGATTGCAACGAACACACATGACAACGCACAGCATCGCCCCTCGCGCAACCCCCCTCCCCGCCTTCCAAAAACAACTTGAGCCGCCGCACCTCCAGGAAGTCCCTCTCCTCGAGGTGGCGCCGTATGGTGGACACGATGCGGCTGCGCGCGCGGAACGTGGCCCGCGTCTCCTCGCTCACAATCAGGTCCAGGTAGCGCTGCCTGTAGCGCTTCTCGACGTCCGCCAGGCCGTGCCACTTGTCGGGCAGCGGCAGCAGCGCCTTGGTCAGGACCTGGGGGGCGGGGAGGTGTGAGGGTGTGACGGTGTGATCGGAGGGGGGGTGCGGTGTGGTGGGACTGGGGGGGGGGGTGTTGGGCGCCGCGGTCCAGCGGCTGCGTTCGGCACGGGCTGGAGGCGAGCTGCTGGCCCCATCAGAGGCGCCCGGCTCACAGGCGCCGGCGCCAGAAGCCGCATCAGCTGCTCTGCGGGCGGCACGCATGGCGGTGGCCCCCTGTAGTATTCCCCCGCCTCCCCGCGTTGCCAGCCCCCAACCAGCGCGCCGCCCACCTCCAGGCTGCGCGCCACCACCGACAGCTCCCCCTTTTCCGTGCGCTTCACCCCGCCCCTGGCGCCCACGATGTCCCCGACATCGATCTGGTTCTTCAGGGTGTCAAACCCCCCCGGCTGCGCCTCCTCCAGCCGCGCGCGGTCCACGTACAGCTGCACGCTGCCGCGGTCGTCGCGGACCGACAGGAACGCCAGCTTGCCCATCACGCGGCGCGCGACGACGCGGCCGGCGACGGCGACGTCGGCGGCGGGGTCCTCCTCGCCTTTTGGGTGTGTGTTTGTCAGGGGCGCAGTGGGTGGCAGTGGGGGACGCCGTGGCTGCTGGCAAGCCGCGCCGGAACCACGCGCCACATCAGCACAGACAAGGCATGGCTCCTGCACCACATAACACCTCAATCCAGCTGCTGCGGCTGCTGCACAATGTACTCTCCCCTTGTTTTTTCCACATGTGCAATCGCGCAGCCAACGCGAAAAGGTCGAACCGCCCACAGCCCCTCACCTGGCGCCAATGCCTCGTACTGCTGCTGCAGCTGCTCGGTGTAGTGGGTCCTGTCAAAGCGGTACGCGTACGGCTCCTGGCCTCCCTCCCGCAACTCCTTTGCCTGGGGTGGGCGCAAGCAGGGGGGGGGGAGCGGGCCGTGACGGGCAAACCAGGAGCGCATGTATTTGTGTGGGGCGCGGGGCCGGGCTGGTCGCGCTGCGAGCGGGGCGAGCTGCGCCAGATGCCCCTGCAGCCTGCACCCGCAGCCAGGTGTCGCGGACGGGGCGGGGTCCGGCGGCGCCCCTCGCCCGGCGGCGTGCGGCTGGCGCGTCTGGCGCCCCGCGAGCCAGGATCGGACTGGGTTGCGTGATGTGATCCGATGAGCCCTCTCCAGCACACCCTCATCAGCATACCCCACCCCTCCCCTCCCCGAGCCCAACCTTCTGTATGCGCAGTGCGCGAATCTCCTCGGCGCTCGACGTGTTTGCCGCCTTGTCCTGCTGCTGCTGCTTGCCGCCCCCCTTCTGCTTTTTGCCGCCACCCTTCTGCTGCTGCTTCGCCGGCTGCTGCTGCGGCTGCTGCTGCGGCTGCTGCTGCTCTGCAGCGGCGTCCTGCTGCCTGCGGGCCGACAAGGCAAGGTGCATTCAGCGGGGGTATGGCGCAACAGGGCGCTCCTACAATCGCACCACAAGCCGGCGTGGCACGAGAGCGGGTGGCAGGCAGGGCTGCTGCGTCAGGGACGACCCCCTGACCCATCCGCAGCAGCTGCATGACAGCGCGGCAAGAATTACACAATAAGAACGCCAGGTCAGGATTCCATGTGTGCCGCCAGCACTGCAAATGGAGGGCGCGCAGCACTCACTCTGCAGAAGCAGCTGCGGCGCGCACACCAAGCGGCGGCCGGGACCAGCCGGCCGCCCTTGCTTGGCGAACCAGCTGCCGCACAGGTAGCCGTGACATCATCCTGCCATTGAGTGCGCCAAGCGACTGCATCGAACCCTGCGCTTGCCCCAGTGCTACGGTAAATGAATTTGCGGTGCCACTTCAGCACGACGATTCCGTACAGTATGTTGCGCAAGGCGATCAAAAACAGAGTGCACAAGCTTATTGATACAACATCGATTGCCTGTAGATACCTCATTCACGCCTGGCACAGGCAGCCGGTGTTTCGTCTGGTGCCGATTTCTGTAAGTTTGTAAAGTCGCCCTTGTACCCCCTGTGGTCGTGCCAGCAGCAATTTGGTATTGAGTAATTGTGATTGCAGCAGCGGCGAACCCACACAGGGCCAGATCGGCTACGAGTGGCGCCATTTCACCATGGCAGCCACGCGAGCCTTCCACACCTCGCTGGAGGACACAAACAAGAACATTGGTCTGGCGGGAATCGCGCGTGATACCCTTGCAGGTAGGGGCGGTGCCGACAAACTGTTTGGCGCCACCCACCAAGTGGAGGGATGCTGCGAAGCATGCTGTGCGGCGCCCTCGGCGCTTCGCCCACCCATATACAGCAGCATGTTGGCCACTCATCCTACAGCCAGCATACAGATCGGCGCCGCAGCCCGCCATGGCGCCTCGGCACGCCCCGTCCGCTCATCGCAACACAAGCCAATTCTTGCCAACTCAACCCCCTGTTGCGCAACATCAACTCGGCCCATGCTGCCACTCTGTGTTGCCGCTTAGATGGCGACCAGGGCGGCTCCGAGCCGCACCCGCTGTCGCCGGGCTACTCCCAGACGCCCCGCCTCGAACCTGGCGGCTCGCGCGCATCGTCCCTGGCCGACGGCCTACCCGAGCCACTAGGCGCTGGGCAGCCGTCACCCGTGGTCGCCAGCCGCCGCGCGCGTCCTGCCACCGTGCGGGCCGGCGTGACGGCGTCGGCCGGGCCGCCGCGGCAGCGGCAGCGGCACCAGGAGTTGCTGGGGCCGTCGAGGTGGGCAGGGAATGAAGCGAATGCAAGGGGCGGTCACAATGGGGGGGGGATGCGCACCTCTGCAAGTTCCTGTCTGTGCCTCTCGCTGACGCCTGACAGCGGTCCCAGCACCCTTCCTGTTGGCAGCTACGTCCATCCCTGCACGCATGCGTATGCGCCAATGACCATGGCGCGTCTGCTGCGGCCCCGCGGCCAGGCTGGTCAAACCTGACCGGGTCGGGCCCCTCGCCGCCCCGCCAGGCCCGCCCCCACCAAGATTTGGAAGCGCCGTTGGGTGAAGGTGCTGGTGGTGGGTGACAGCGGCCTGGGGAAGACCACTCTCATCTCCAGCCTGCTGAACACGGCCCAGGAGCTCGTGCAGGTGTGCTGCGGGCGAGGGGGAGGGGACCAGCACGCGATCATGCGCCGCTGACGTGGCGAAGCCCGTCAGCACGAGCTGTGCTGCCTGTGAGAGGCGCGCACGACGAATGCACGCTTCCCTGCATGCGCATCCGCGCACATGCATGCATGCCATCACACAAACATACATGCACGAAACACCTCAATTATCAACAGGTCCACGATGGCACGGGCACGTCCCTGGCTCAGTTCAGGAGCGACCCCGACAGCCTCACTACAACCATCAGGTTGGGCCTGGCAAACACGGCTCGCACCCTCGTGCGCCCGCACCCGCCTTTGCTGCAGCGGCCTGACCCCCCCAGCCAACAGCCGCGGGCGCGCTGCACCCTGTTCCACGCGGCTTGTGAGGCAGCTGCCATGGCCGAGGCGGCTGGCTGGATGCTTTTCCGCTGTCTGCGCATGCATGCCCTGCCCCTGGTGCACACCTGCTCACAGACTGGACATGCATGCACCCCGCATCCACTGTTTGCCCCAGCTGGAAGGATGAGGAGTCACGCGAGGTGTGGATGCTGCGCGTGCAGGACACGCCCGGCTACGGCGACTGGATGAACATCCAATGCCACATAGACATGGTGTGGGATTGGCAGTACATGCGGCCAGACATTGGACACAATCAGCTTCAAGCTGGCCTCAAAATACGCCTGTGCAAATCAGCTGGCAGAAGGCATGCAGGACACCATGCAAGCAGCTCAGGGTTGGGGGATGACAGAGCCGGCATCCCGCTGCGTCGAGTTGCTTGCGAATGCGAGCAATTGTTTTCTCAACTCCTGCGCTTGCCTCTGGGTGGCCGGAGCAACGTCTAAGCTGGCTCCCGCGCCTTGCTGTGACACCCCACTTGCCGCCAGATCAAGGACTATGTTGAGACCCAGAACAAGAAGTGGCTGGACATGGAGTGCGCCAAGGACAGGCACGCTAGACGGCCACAGCTGATGCCAGGGGGAGCAGGAGAACTCGGGGGTGCAACGTCCTCTCGCGCCCGATCTCTGATGCTGCGGCGAGGGATGCGGGTCATGCCTTTGCGCCGCGCGCACTCCTGCCCGCCTTTGGCAGCGTGCAGCGCCGCGCCTGCCTACTGCCTGCCGCCGGGCGGCGCGTGCGGGCTCCCTCGCTGCCTCTCCTACTCCACAACTCGTTTCTACCAACCCCATTCAAACCAACCCCGCACCTCTCTGACGCTTGCCCTTATGGTGGTCCCCTCTTACACCCCACCCAAACACACATCTACTCGTACAGGCTCGTGGACATGGCCGAGGTGGACGACCCGCGGGTGGACGTGTGCCTCTACTGCCTGCCGCCGCACAGGCTGCGGCCGAACGACATCCGGTGAGGGGCGTGCGCGGGAAGGGCATCGCCGGCGCAGTGCCATGGCCATGGCAGCCAGGGGCGCTCGCGCGAGCACTGAACCAATTCTGGCAGGGCCCTGCTTTGTCGTATGTCGTTGCCGCGCCTCTATCCTGTGGTTGGCTGGGAGACTAGCGAGTTCCTTCAGAGCCCCTGGCGGTCTTTGGGTTTGCAGCCTGTGTCGTAGTCATGCTGTGATCCACCCCTGCCCTCCCCTCGGCACACATGATCTAGTCGCACTAACACACAAAGCATAAACATACACGAACAAGCACATGCAAGTGCACATGTGCGCGCGTGCGGGCACGCACAGACGCACAGACACACACACACACACACACACACACACACACACACACACACACACACACATACACACACACTCACACACACACACACATACACACACACAAACGTGCTTGCGCGCGCACCACGTGCGCTGTGCAGGTACATGGCCCAGCTGGGCAAGGTGGTGCCCATCATCCCCGTGGTGCTCAAGGTGGGGGGCAAGGTGTTTAAGCGGCAGGGGGGGGGGGGGCTGGGAGCCGCGCTCGAGAGGCTGCTGCCGAGACGTCTTGTTGGGAGTGTGGTAAGACAGCCAACGCCCCCGCCCTGTGCAATTTTGCATGGGACATGGACGCCGCTCGTTTGTCCGGGGCTTCCCACCAGAGCTGTTGTGCGAGCCGGCCCCGACGGTTTCTCATGAGATATTCTAGACCTCATGCATGGCCCCGCCCGTCTCCTTTGCCGCAGTCTGACACGATGACAATCAGCGAGGCGCAGAGGTTTAGGCAGGAGGTGGCCGCAAACATCAAGGTGCGGTGTTGTGTGTCGGTGCCCACGCATGCGTGCGTGTGAATGAGAGAGTGTGTGCGTGCGTGTGTGTGTGTGTTCGTGTGTGTGTGCGTGTGTGTGTGTGTGTGTATGTGTGTGTGTCCGTTTGTTCCCCCACGCGCGCGTGCTTTTGTTTGTGACCACATGCGCGCACACGCGTGCAAAAACGCGAGTGTGCGTGTGCTTGCACTTGAATACACTTGCACGCCTGTACGCATGCGACTGGCTTGTTGACACTCAAGCACATGCATGCGCTGTGCCCAATTGAAGCACATGCATGCGCTGTGCCCAATTGAGAAGTGCGAACTTCATGCTGGTTGTGGCAGCCCCCCCTGTGCGTTGTGCGTCGGCCTCGGCGGGCCGCATCCTTGCAGCGCAGGGACCCTGGCACCAAGTACCTCTGATCTGCTTATTGCTCCTCGGTGACCCTGGTCACCCGCAGTCACCCCCGCAGCTGCCCCCTTCGCTGACTCTCGTCCGTGCCCGGCCCCACCCGCCCGCTCGTCCGCCAGAACCCCACCACGCGCGGCGTCAAGCAGGGCATCCGCACCTTTGCCTTCTCCCCCCAGTCTGTGGAGCGCGCCGGCCTAGAGCCCGGCTCCCCCGTCTGCCCCTACCCCCTCGTCGTCATCGCCAGCAACGACATCAACCAGGTGACGCCGGGGCCCCGGCACCCGCCCCCGGCCTCACGCCCCCACCAACTGGCCACAGAGCGCCGCGAGCCGCACAGATCAGGGATGCGTGCCGGTGATCCTCCAGGGCCTCGCCGCGCGTGACCCGGGGGCGCCTCCTCCCTGTGCATTTCAGAGCACCGCCCCAACCAACCGGTCCCGGGCCCCCGCCGCCGCGCCGCAGGCCATGCTGCGGGGCGAGCAGCCGGTGTTCTGGCCGCAGCGCGCGTACAAGTGGGGCACGGCTGAGGCCTTCAACTCGTCGCACTCGGACCTCCTGGCGCTCAGGTGGGGCGAGGGTGAGGAGCTTGACGCTTCCCCATGGATTTTTGCCGCGTTCCGGCGGATCGCCCTCCCCAAAGCGCCAGCTTCTGGGGTGTCACAGCGGTCATACGTGGCAGGGTGGCTGCGAAGTCCTCCTCCCCCAGGGGCCGCAACGAACGCGTTTTGGACGCGCGGGCTCGTCAAACGCAGGGCGCTGCTGCTGTCAGAGGGTCTGGAGGAGATGGTGGCGTCCAAGAAGCAGCGCTACGAGGGCTGGCGCCGCGCGGCGCTCAGGTGGGCGCGGCACCGGCGCCTGCCCCCGTCCCCTTGTCCCCGCCCCGTGCGCGGCGCGCGCAGGGCACTTGTGCACAGCCACTGGCCCTCGCACGCGGCGCGCCAGGGCCTCTGCAAGAACTCCTACCTCTTGCCCATGCTCTGCTTCAGCCGCACCAACCTCGCAGTGCCTTGACCCCAAACATCCACGCAAACACGCACATGCACACACACAGGGTCCCCTTCTTCCGCCGCCTGCGCCGCCGCGCCGCCCGCCTGGCGCTCCTGACGCTGCTGCCTGCTGCGGCCTTCGCCTTTGCCGCGGCGCACGAGTTCGACGCGCGCAAGATACGCGACGCCGTCGACAGGGCGCGCAAGGACGTTTTTAAGGGGGCTGCGAGCGGCGCTGCATCTGCCGCAGCTGCTGTGGAGCCGCTGCTGCTGGTGGCCGCAGGGAAGGGGCAGCAGGACGGGGCACTGGTGGAGTTGCCAGTGGCGGCGGCCCCAGCGGTGACGGCGCCAGCGGCCGCGGCACCTGTGATGGCGGCCCCGGTGGCTCCGGGGAGCATGCAGAAGCAACAGGGCCAGGGGCCACTGCAGGAGCAGCAGCAGCTGAGGCGCGAGGAGCAGCAGCAGCATAAGAAGGGGTGGTGGTGATCGGACCTGCCAGGCGCGTCTGGGCCGCAAGAGGGGCTTGGGCGTGGGACGGAGGGGTGCTGAGAGTCAGGGTGGACACAGCAATCAGGACACAGTCGGCGCAGGCCTGGGGATGGCTCATTTAATCAGTAGGATTGCGTCACAGGATGCCTGCCGCCCGCTGACAGCTGCGAGGGTTGGCCCCTTGGCTGACCGGCAGGTGGGGTGACAATGGCTGATAGCACAGAGGGTAGGGGTCAAACAGATGACGCGCGCGACGCAATAAGGCCGGCATGGGCAGCAGCTGGACTTCCTGGAGTTCTGGTGATGCGTGGGCTTTTCCAAATGACAGTCCAAACCGCTTGCGAAATTGCTGGCTTGTGGGCCTTTCTTGGGAAATTTTTTCGTCTACATATGCTTGTGCTAGGTGGTCTCTTTGCAGCGCGGTGCGTCCTCCGAATCCCGATTATGAGGGTGGGCAGCGTCAACACAGGCCTGGGAGTGTTCGACGCCTCAGCACCCCCGGATGCAGGGTGCACGGCCTCCCTATACTTACGGCACACATGGAAAGACTTTCTTTGGATACATTGTAACTTTCTGTTCGTCTCCATGTTGATTGCGCGAGCAGGTTAAGGGAGTCAGCAGAAGTTGGCTACGACTGGGTGAGTCCAACGGATTACCTGACGTGCACTGGTGTGACACGCACGCGAGTGTGGTGGCGCATGTGGTCGATGCAAGGCGCGATGCTTGCATGGAAGGTGTTTGATCCTTGAGGGTTTGGTTCTGAAGGCAGTGCGCGACAAATGAGTTGTGCAGCTTTCGCTGGCGTCAGGTGCGGCGGGCCGGAACGCAGACTCTCCAAGTTGACCTGCAGTGGGTCTAGGAGATGCGAAGCGCACTTGAGAATTCATGTCATACAGTATGATAAGTTCGCCGCGATGATTGCGTCGCTCATTCGGCGTCTCAATCTCCCCATGCAGATGGTGAGGCACGCGTGACACTCAGGGGATCGATCCTTCATGCAAGTGGTGGAAGAGAGCGCTTTGTGGGCTGGTTCTTACGCGCTGGCCCGCTGCGCTCCCTCCGGGCCGTCGGCTTTGTTGCCGTCCTCGCAAGCGCTCTCAGCGCGCGTCGGGCGACCCCCTAGGGCGCCTCGACTACGGCCCAAACATCCACCTACGGCAGCGGCCGTCCTTGGTGATTGCCTCCATTCTGCAGGTCTGGGCTTGACGGGCGTTGGCTACGGACCCTAGCATGGAAGCATCCGGCAGCTCCCGGCGCTCCGACGCCCCCAGCCCTGGGCGCACGCCGGACACCAGCGGCGGCGGCGCCGGCGGCGGGGACGGCCCGACTAGCGGCGGCGCCGCCGGCCCTGGCACAGACCTCCATCCTGTGGCGCCCGCGGGCGTCCAGCTGCCCCTTCCGACACAGAGGGCCGCCCTTGCCATGGCAGAACCATCGGCCCCACCGGGCATTTGCAGCAGCGAGGCGGAGCTAAGCAGTGGACCGAGCACGGCCAGCGCCACTACCAGCAGCGGCGCTGCTGCGACGGCCGGCACCGCGCGGTCGATCGCCGTGTTCGGGGCGAGCAACGAGTTCAGCGCCTGGGGCAGCATCGGGGTGGCGAGCCTGGCTGGTGGGGCCGCCGACGGCGTCCCGCTGCCGCCGCCGCCGCCGCCGCCGGCGCTCATGTCCCTAGGGGTTGTGATGGAGTCGGGCAGCGGCAGCACCGACGCGCACCTGGCGGCGCCCGCGGCCGCGGTCGCGGCCCTGCCGCCACTGCCGCGCCTGCCGCCGCTGTACTCGCCCTTCGCCGCGGTGCAGGCCGCCCCTCCGCCCCCCCAACCCAGCCCTGCCCCCGATGCCGGCGCCCAGGAGCGGCCGAAGGATGTCGCCGCCCCGGTCCCGGCGGCCGCGCCCGCTACGCCTCGGGCCGCGGCTGCGCCCTCAACCTTGGGCCTGCCTCGCGAGCCTGGGCCAGCCAGTGAAGCCGCCGCGGGTCACGCAAAGGCGTCGGCCGGGCCCGGCAGCGCCCCACCGATGCCCCGGCGCGGCCCGGCGCTCTACTCTCCTTTCGCAGCCGTCGCAGCCGCGCCAAGCTACGACAGCTTTGGCTCCGCCTCAGCCCCTCCGGTCGCTGCGGCCAGCCCGGCCGGCGCAGACCCGGATCCACCGCCCAGCGATGCGGCAGAGGAGGAGGCGCGCGTCGCGCCGCCCGCCGCCGCCATGCCACAGTCGCCGCAGTCGTCGCCGCGGCCTGAGGGGTCGCGGCAGCCGCCGAGCGCCCAAGCGTCCGGCAGCAACAGCGGCGCAACCACCGGCCCCTGGAAGCTGGCGACGCCGTTTGCCGCCAGCCTGGTCCCCTTTGATGATATTGAGGAGGGGCACGGCAGCGAAGAGGGGCCGGACGGCAGCGAGAGCAGCGTCGGCGGCCACGGCGCAAGGCCCGCGAGCGTGATCGGCGGCAGCACGAGCTGCGGCATGGGCGAGGGCAAGGGCGCGGCGGCAGGCGGCGGGGGCGCGCAGTCGCCGGAGGCGCTCCCGAGCACCGGCATCTTCACGCCAAACGCATCGGACGTCCTGCGCAGCGGTATGCCGCAGCAGCCCAGCGCGTCGCCTGCGCACGGGCAGAGCCGGGACGGCAGCACCAAGGGCGGCAGCGCCAGCGACATGCTGCCACTCGGCGCAGCCGGGGCGGCCGCGGCGGCCACGAGCAGTCCCACAGTGCTGGAGGCGCCCGCAGGCGCCAGTCAGCAGCAGCAGCAGCAGCAGCAGCAGCAGCAGCAGCAGCAGCAGCAGCAGCAGCAGCAGCAGCAGCAGCAGGCACTGCAGGAACAGCAGCAGCGGCAGTTGCAGGAGCGGCAGGAGAGCGGGCGGCAGCAGAGCAGCGGCCACATGCAGCAGCTAGGTGCCGCCGCAGCAGTCATCATGGCTGCAACGGCAGAGATGGAGGCCTGCCGCAGCAGCAGCGCAGGCGACGGCGAGAGCCGGTTCGGCAGCACAGCGGCTCCGCTGGGGCCGAGCCGGCTCTCGGCCCCGCAGGCAGCGGCGGCTGCGATGCCCCAGCTGCAGCAGCTGCCGTTGGAGGTCACGGCGGCCGAGGCGTCGGCTTGGGCACAACAGCAGCAGCAGCATCAGCAGCAGCAGCAGCAGCAGCAGCAGCAGCAGCAGCAGCAGCAGCAGCAGCAGTTTCAGCTACAGCAGGCGCAGCAGCAGCAAGCCCAGTTACAGCAGGTGCAATTACGCCAAGCCCAGCTGCTGGCAGAGCAGCAGGCGCAGCAGCAGGCGCTGCTGCTGCAACAGCAGCACGCGCAGCTACAGCAGCTCGCGCAGCAGCAGCAGCAGCAGCAGCTGCTGCAGCAGCAGCAGGGGGGCTCGCCCCTCACAGGCGCAGCGGCCCCCACGCCGGCGCCCTCCGGCGCCAGCGGCAGCGCGTCCCAAGCCGGGGCCCCTGTTTTGGGGCTCCCAGCAATGGCTCCAATCCTTCTTGTCCCGACAGCCGCCGCGGCAGCCGCAGCAGCAGCAGCAGGCAGCACCCCCGACATGTTGTCCCCCGCGGCCTCGCCCGCCGCCGCCGCCGCCGCCACCCCGCGCTTCGCCGCCGCCGCGACGCCGCCGGGCACGCCACGGGCGGCCGGCGGCGCGGCCGGCCTGGGGGAGGCGCCGGCGCGGATGTCATTGGAGGCCGGGGCCGGGGGTGTGGCGGATGCTGCGCTCAGCTGCCTGACCTGCTACCCCCCAGTCCTCACGGAGGGCCAGCCCGCCAACCTGCATGGTGAGTGCGCCCGCCCCTGTGTCGACGCCGGTCGCATGACGCGGCATTCGTTTGCTCCCTGCCAAGGTGTCTGCCTGCCTGCCTCCCTGCCACGGTTTTTGTCGGCAGGGCCCATTCCTGCACGGAGGCTCCCTCCCAAGCGCCGCGCATGCCGCATCTGCTGCTGCTGCTGCTCAGCGCCGCCGCTCCTTGCTCTCTCTCAATCGCCCAACCCGTTCGCCACCCTGCCCTCCCCCCAAAGTGTATGTATCGGGCCTGGACCTGCCACCAGCCACGCCAGCCGGGCGCGCTGCGGTGTACCGGCTGGTTGCGCTGCAGGGCCAGCTGGCGGTCGGCGACGTGCAGGGGGTGCGGCGCGGCGGCCCGGGGGTGGTCTGGTGCGCACAGGGCGGCGGCTGCGGATTGCGGGCGGTGTGGTTGGGATGTGGTGTGATGTGCACACGTCGCTGCCGCTTTGCCATGCGGGGCGATATATGGAGCATTGCCCGGCTGCACGCTTGCTTCGACCAATCTGCTTGCTTGCTGCGCCGTCGTCCATGGCCCTCCCTGCACATGCGTGTACACACACACACACATACACACACACACATACACACACACATACACACACACACACATACGCACATACACACACGCACTCATGCGCGCGCGCACCACCACCACTGCATCACCGCAGGATGTCGCTGCCCCCACTGCGCAACGGCGTGCTCAAGGTCGGCCTCCTGCAGCCTGACGCCAACGTCGCCTTCCTGCAGCCCCTGCTGGTGCTGCCCGCCCCCCAGGCGTCGGAGATGGCCGCGCTCTGGTCTTCCATGCTGTTGGCCAAGATGCAGGCCGGCGCCGAGGCGCGGCGCGCGCGGCGCGCAATGGACGAACTGGAGGCGGAGGCGGCGGCGGCGGCCGCCGCGGCCGCGGCGACGGTCGCGGCGGCGGCGGCGGCGCAGCACCAGCAGCAGCACCTGCAGCTGCAGCGCGGGGCGGCGGGCGCCGCCGGCGACGCGGCGGCGGC